TCTCTCAATGGAGAGCGAGTATTGGACTGTGGAACTACTGTCAAGCTGCCTCCAGTAGACCAGCTAATGGCCACCACTCTCACTCATTCAAAGCTGCAGTAGACAGCAAGTCAGGCAGTACTACATCAGGAGAGAAGACATCTAAACTGCCAGCAGCTCTGTCTCTTCTTGCTTTACTCCTCCTCCTCTTTCTCTCTCTCTCTTTATTAAGACACATCTTGATAATTCCTCCAACAGGTAAACAACAATTGCAACTTTGTACTTGTATATTTACTGGTATTTTATTATTAGGTAACTGCTACCAAGTACAATGTACTGCTGGTGTTACTGTTACTGATACAAATTACCTCCAGTCAGTAGTCTTACCTGGAGGCAGCAGTTCTAACCTGATTTACAATGATCTCTATTTGATTGTTTGTCTACGTATGCTCCTCCTCTTATCAGGAGATGTTGAACTCAATCCTGGTCCTACAACAGGTATGTACAAATATTAGTTACTGTTTAAAATTATAAAGCCTCTATTGTATAGCCAAGAAGCTTAATATGGCAGCAGTCATAAAAATATTTGCTTCTTCTGCTAACCGTTACATGCTAATAGGGACTGGATTGGGTGTAAATGTGTCTGATCTGATACAAATGCCAGGAACAGCAACTGACAATCTTATTAATGTATTCCATAGGTGGTTTGATGCTGATAGAGATGTCAATTGGGATACATTAATAAAACTGTGTGATGACTTTCCTGGTCAACTGGGCAAAGCAAAATTTGAACTTCTGAAATATATAGGTGGTAAGTTATAAATTATAAAGACAAGCACAGTTGATGTGTGAGAATGAGATTGAGGCTTCTGAAATATAACTATACAGTACTTACCCCAATTAAGGCACGTTATAGATAAACTACAGTGGTAGAGGGTTACTGGGAGTGGATATATACACGGGATGTAAGTTGATTAGCTATGGTTTCTAATCGACTAACATCCGAGTGTATATCCAGTAATATGAAACAGCTGTAGGTTATCTGGTACTTACTATAGTGTGAAAGGCACTGTAGCATGCAATGTAAGTAATACACCTCTCAACAATGGGTGTCAACAATTATAATAAGACTTTCTAATCACTTCAGCATTAGTCTTGCTAGCAAGACCCTTGCCTACCTACAATCATTAAGATGACTGTAGGCTGGGGAATGGTCTGGCTAGTATCTAGTGAGACTAGAGGTGCATGTACTCGATAGAAAGTTTTTATTGTAGAAACCATGTAGAGGTGCAATAATTAGGAGGGTGTGTACCCTTATTTGTTATTGGTATCATTATTCATTTTGTAGGCAACAAAAAGTTTCAAATTGAAGATCTAATAAAATCAGGTATTCTTACAAATTATACATACTGTTGCAGAACTAGCAAATGTAGCTGATTTTTTGATGCTCCAATTGGTTGTTTAGTGTTAGTTATGAGCTATTTCAGACTGGCAAAAGTAAAGTGCCAGTGTGAAAAAGCCTTCAGAGTCAATTGTTATCATTTGTATGGTTTATAAATTATAATAAAATCAAGCTGTAACTGTACATCATGTGTATAGGTACTCTAGAGAAGTGGTGTAAAGAAGGTACCATGACGCTGACTCTTACTCGTGTACTCATGATTGGTCCTGCAGGATCTGGGAAAACTTGTGCACAATGTCTTCTACTAAATGAAGACCCTCCACCCTTAAAATCTACTAGTTCTACTACTTCTGATCAACACACCATTACTCCTTCAGCCACCTGCTTACCACCTGCTAATCCTCTTATCTCTTCTAATTCTACAACTGCCTCTGGCCTCATTCCTCATTCTATAGTCTCTAAACCTACCACTGACAGTACACCAATAGCTTGTAAAGCTGTCAAGGCTCTAAGAATAGCTTTTGATGATGGATCAGAGACATGGAACAGAATTACTAGAGATGAACTGCTTCAAAAATTGGCATCAAGTTTAAAAGAAGCTGCTTTTAAATCTTCTCAACAAGTTGATTCAAGGAGTACCCAACGGACAATTGACCCAAAAGAAACACAGGACCTTGGAGATATTTTTAAGGAAATTGCTGATCTCATACCTAAAGCAGAAGCTCAGTTAAGTGAGAAGTGGGTATACATTGTTGATTCTGGTGGTCAACCAGCATACCAAGAGCTGCTACCATTGTTTACTAGAGCAGCTACTCTTAACATCATCACACTTGATATCTCAAAAGATGTTGATCAGGAGTTTGAGTTCATGTATCGAATTAATGGACAAGAATTTCCATGTGACAGAGAAATAAAATATTCAAATCGTAAAATTTTCAATTCGGTTGTTTCATCAGCATCAGTTCAGAAACCAATTGATATTCCATTTGTGAAACATCAACCTAAACACTCAATGTCTTTTGTCCTGGGTACTCATTATGATGTACTGATTGAAAGAACCAACAAAAAAGATGCTGAGGCAAAAGTGGTAGAGATAAGTAGTAATTTGATGTCAGAAGTGCCTCATTTAGAAAATCGCATTATTTCTAAAATACATAGAAAGTCTGTAATATATCCAGTTGATACAATGCAACAAGATAGAAGAGGGATAATTAGCCGAGAAATTTTAGAGATAATGTCAAAATGTACAGAGGTCACCATTGAAATTGAAGTCCCAATGCGTTGCTTTGTGTTTGAGCTTTACTTGGAAGAAAAGGCAAAAGGCAAAGGTTTTGTTACTAAAAAAGAAGCTACTGAAGAAGGCAAAAAGCTTTACATGGATGATGATGAAGTCGAATTAGCTCTAACCTATCTTCACAATAGCACAATTATTTTATACTACCCTGACATTGAGCCACAATTAGTGTTTATCGACCCTCAGAAAATCATCAATGTTCTTTCACACTTGTTAGCTCTGACTTATGTCAGTTATCCAATACCAGCAACATCACTGGCACCAGATATATCACAGGAGGAAATGACACATCTTACAAATGAAGGATGTTTTAATGAAGCCCTTCTTGATAAGCTTGCAGACATATTTTCAGATCCTTTTACACCAAAATACTTCATTAAGCTCCTTGAACGTCTACATATTATTAAAAGCCAGGCTCAAATTGGAGATAATTGCTACTTTCTTCCTGCTGCTTTACCTCCCTACAATAACAGCTATGATAAGGACCTACCTAAAAGTATAAAGCCTCTTTATTATGTGTGGAAGGAGGAAGGTGAATCTAAATCCAAAAATTTTGTCCTTGTTCCTCAAGGAATTTTTTTTTTAATTTTTGTCCATTTGTTACATTTCCTTGAACAGAAAGAATTCTGTGACGAGATAGAGTTTACGCATCATCAAAAATATCGTGATGCCTTTTCACTTTGGATCTACATTGAAGGAAAGCGTTACACACTTTACATCATCAATCGCTATCAACATATTGAAGTCTATTTCGATGGTCGACAGGAATATTGTCCACAGAAATATTGTCCACAAGTTCGTAAGCTGATTACCACAACTATTAATACAAAATCTGACGCTATCAGTGCTAAACGAAATTATGTGAGTGCATTTCCTTGCCCCAATAAGAAAGAGCATTGCTATTGTATTGTGAATGAGAAGCATAAGGTGGCAAATTGTTCAAAGTGTGATTCAAATGATATCAGTAAAAGTGATGAGAGTTACTGGTGCTGGTTTGACTCTAGCTCAGCAGGTAAATTATTGCTAGAGATAACTATTAATACTTACTTTAATACTTAATAAAGCATTATTCATTAATTCATTTTTTATATCAGGCAAAGCAGGATTTGCAGAAAGCAATGGGACAGCACAAGCAAATGCTAAAAAGCAAAAGATTGATTACAAGTATGCACACACTCCAATAATAAAATTAATTTACACACTTATGATAGTGTTTACAGAGAACCACTTGATAGTTCAGCAGCTGGCCAAGACAAGAGTAAAAGTGATGATCAAAGTATGTCAGGAAATTTTTTTAAAACTTATAATAGTAACATACATAATTATAGAATTAGATCCACCTCCAGATGTCAGCAAATATTGCCCAAAACTGGAGGACATTGAGGAACAAATTTTGAAAAAAAAATTCTCAGCACTGACAGAAGAAGAGAAAGACTTCATAACAAAAGTCCGTTACATTCTGGTGACTGCCACACCTATAGAGTACCGTGCTGTGATGGGTGCAATCGAATGTACTGGCAGTGATGGTAAATATATTAGAGTTATCACAACAGATAAATCAGCAAATTTTATCCTGGGGAAGTATGGATTGTGTCATGTTGCAATAACTAGGACAGGCCAGGGCCCAAAAGAAACTGAAGATATTCTTATTTCAGTACAAAATGACGTAAAAGCTGATTTTGTCATTGCTATTGGGATATGTTATGGAGCAAAGGAGAGCAAAACTGAGGAACTTGATGATAAAACAAAATTAGGTGACATTATCGTTGCTAAAAGTATTCTTGACACTGAACATCAGCGTATTCAAGGGAAAGATACAAGCGTTTTACCTACCGAGTACCAATGTGGAAAGAATCTTTTTAATTTGTTCAAACATGATGAAGTCTTTAAAATTGAAGGTAAAGCAGTTAAAGTTCATCATCAAGGTTCTCTGGCCTCTGAATTCACACTGTTTCATAGCAAAAAAGCAAAAGAAGAGAAGTTGAAATATGTCCAAAAAGCACTTGGAGGAGAAATGGAAGCAAAGGGTATTCATAGGGCTGCCGAGAGAGTAGGATTTGAATGGATCGTAATAAAAGCCATTGTTGACTGGGGAACAAAAGAAAAAGACAAAATGTGGCAACCATTTGGAGCTGTCTCATGTGCAAGGTTTGTCCTACAGTGCTTGAAAGATCAGCAAGGTAAGCTAATTATGGTAAGGGCGATGAACTATGTATAAGTAGTTACGTAGATGTATAAGCTTTGCAAACTAAACTTTTTGATATTGATTTTCATTAGAACTAACATGCCACATT